ACCGCGGCGCCCAAAGGGCGCCTAAGCGCGCGGTGATGGCGCAGTGGATAAGAGAGATGACTTTGGAGCAGAACACCCAAAAGTTCGATTCTTTCAAGTCCCAAATGGTTTTTTATAGCAATTTTTGATATTTTGAAACATGTTTTGATTCTTGGAACTCTTGATTCCCGTTTTTTCTTTGTTTTTTGTTCCAAAACTTTAAGCATATTTATCTAGGTTCTTGTGAAAGCTATCAAAAAGTGGTCAACTAGCAAAATGTGCGAAATTTCATCAGAAATATTTTATCAGTTGACACTTTTTGTTATCTCTCACAGCAAACCAGATAATTGCTTACCTTTGAATCAATACCAATCGGTTTAGCACACTCATCGCACTGATTGGCGAACACATCCTCGTAGCATTTGATACAGTATGGTTGCTCATCTCTCATTATATATCGCTGTCCAGTCAATGTTTGATCGCATTGCCAACAGCAAAAGTGGTCACTGTGCCAGTCTTTATTCATCGCTTTTGTGTATTCGCCGGCGAAGATTAGCTGCAAAAATTATGGATAATTTATTTTGAAAAAGTATTGAAAATTGTTATAAATTATTATTTTTTGTGGAATTTTGGAGAAAAATGCGAGGGAAAAATGAATAGCAAAGTATGGGGAGGATGAAAAAAAAATTGTCAGTTAAAGAAAAATTGAGAATCTAAAAAAAAAGTATGTATTAGAAGGGCAGACCCGTATATTGTCCCAAGGTACCTCCGGAGGGCCCTTCTATTTTTAAGCCCCTCTCGGAGGGCTCTTCTATTAGAGGGGCCCTTCTATTAAAGGGACCCTTCTAATAAAGGTTTGACGGTACATGAAACTCTGAGTTTCTACGACTTTTCCGGATTTTTAGAACTAAATTTTCAAAAAATGCTGAAATCTGAAAATATACCCCGGATTTTCAGACTTTTACAGAATTTCTAAATTTCTAAAGATTCTAAATTTATAGGAATTTTCTGGACTTTTTGAACTTTTGGTAGTTTACTGAATTTCTGAATTTCTGAATTACTGAATTTCTGAACTTCCGAATTTCAGAATCTTTCAAAGTTCCAAAACTAGATTCTGAAATTCTTAGATTTATAGATTCTTGCGTTTCTAGTTTTTTAGATTCTGGCTTTCCAAATTTCGAAAATTCTGAATTTTTAAGGATTCTGAGATTCTGAAATACTAGAGTCTAGAAATTCGAAGTCTTCCAGATTCTGAATAGCCTAGACTTTCTGAATTTCTGAATTTCCGAATTTCTGAATTCCTGACTTTCTGAATTTCTGAATTTCCAAAAAACTGCTTAATTTATGGGAGTTTACTGGATACATGAATTTCCTCGAATCACAAATTTCCTGGAATTTCAGATTTTTTCAAAATTTTAAACTTTTAGGAATCTTCTGGAATTGGGAAATCCTAGATTTTCAGAAATTCTAGAAATTTTCTGACTTTCAGAATTCTTGAAATTCCGAATAATCAGGATTTTCAGAATTTCCAAAGTTTCAGAATTACGGAATTTTGAAAAATTTCGATTTTCTGGAATTTTTTCATTTATGAAATGCTGATTTTTTGCCTAATTTTTTCAAAAAACTTGACAAAAAACCCACTTCCACCTCTAATTTTTTTTTGTTTGCAAGACAAATATTTTTTGGGTAAAAAAAGCCAAAAAAAGGGGCAAAACAAAACAAAAGAAACAAAAAAAATGTGTGTCTCTTTTTTTCTTTTTTGTCGCTCCAATTTTTTCCAATCTATTAATCATGCACTGCTGCTTTTTTGCGCCTGTTTTGGTCCCGGAAAAATTCGATTTTCCAATTTTTTGGACCCATTAAAACAGATTGAAATTTCCTCCAATTTTTTTTTGGAATCCGAAAAATGGCAAGTTTTCGAAATAGAGCTCAAAAAATGGGTCGAACAAGAGCCAAAAAAAATTTGGAGCATTTTTGGAGCAACCAAAAAAGAGTCTATTGTGTCATAAACTTTTTTTCTCGGGCCCCACTTTTATAAACATTTTGGGAGAAATTGTTTGTCAAAAATTTCAGAAATTATATTTTTTTTCAAAAAAAGAGAAGTTTTTTTTGGAAAAAAAAACTCAAAATAGGAAATGCTCAATTTTCGTTTTTTGAAGAAAAGAAATGACTGAAAATTGGTGGCTGAAAATTGGGGAGCAATTTTCGTTTTATATTGAAAATTGAAGCATTTCTGGCGGCTAGGATTTCCTGGAGAAGTCTGGGAATTCTAGAAAAACATTTTCTAGAATTTTTGGATTTTTGAGATTCTCAGGTACCAAGGATTTTAGATTTTCTGAATTTCCAAATTTTCGAATTTCAGAATCGCATAAAGCAAAAAGTTCAGTTATTAAGATATCGTAAACACTCTAATAGAATGTCACCCGATTCGACAAATTTAAGCCCATGTATCTCATTTTCTGTGAGAGACATCAAAAAGTGATTAACTAATGAAATATTGCTGATAACATGATAAGTTTTTTATCAGTTGACAAATTGAGATGTTTAGCCTCCAAGTGGACGGTCCGGGTGCCGTTCTATTAGGATTTTTACAGTAATCAGGTATTAAGGAAACCAGAATTTCAGAATTTCAGAATTCCGAAGAATTCAGAAATCTCGAAAATCCCGGAAGATCGAAACCTTCAAAAACTCAAAAAAACCAAAAACTTGGAATTTCAGAAATTCAGAAATTCAGAAATTCAGAAATTCAGAAATTCAGAAATTCAGCAATTTAGAAATTCAGAAAATCCGGAAAATTCAGAAATTCAGAAATTCGGAAAATCGGAAATTCAGAAATTCAGAAAGTCCAGGCTATTCAGAATCTGGAAGACTTCGAATTTCTAGACTCTAGAATTTCAGAATCTCAGAATCCTTAAAAATTCAAAATTTTCGAAATTTGGAAAGCCAGAATCTAAAAAACTAGAAACGCAAGAATCTATAAATCTAAGAATTTCAGAATCTAGAAGATTTCGAATTTCAGCATTTAAGGATCTTAGAATCTTGGAATCAAAGGTCCGAAAATCTAGATTTCAAAAAACTCTAAAAATGAATCTCTAAAATTTCGAAATCTGAGAATCCGAAAATTACAAGAATCCAGAATCTCAGATTTTCAGAATCTTAGAACTTTCAAAATCCTAAAAATCTTGAGAATCCGAGAAAATCAAAAAGCCTCGAAAAATATACAAACCGCCAAAAATAGAAAAAAGAAGGAGAAGAAAAGAGAAGCCAAAGTTAGGAAAATTTCTTACAACTACAAGAAATTCCAAACCACACAAAAGACATCCCTCTCTCTCTCTCTCTCTCTCTCTCTCTCTCTCTCTCTCTCTCTCTCTCTCTCTCTCAATATCTCATATTCTTAGTTTCTGTGGTCCCCCGGGGTGCCAGAAGCTCCGGAAGAAGGCACAAGAAGACATTTCTTTTTGGCTCTTTTTCCAGCACCAAAAATACCAAAAAACGAGAGATTTTTGGGAGAAAAACGGGGCGCGACCATATATACATACCAGTGACTTGTTGTCTAGTTTCCACTTCTTTTTTCTGCATTTTTTGTGCTTTTTTTTGGGACCGCCAGAGAAACATAAACAACGGGACCATTGGGTATCACATGGAAATTTATAGGCATTTTTAGGGAGAGGGAAAACGGGGGAAAAGGAAGTTTATCTCGTTTTTTGATCTATTTTCTTTGCGGAGAGATCCTCTCATTTTGGGTGTGAAATATTTCTTTTTTAAAACATCCGGGGTACCCAAAAAATGAAAATTTAGGATAGGAAAATCTGAAAATCTGAAAACCCCGATCCAGGGAAATCAGAGAACTGACAATGTTCAAAAATTGCAAACTTTCCCAAACATTTTAGAAGTAAAAATTTAGAAACCCAAAAAATTGGATTTTAAGATTCTAGAGGAATCTGGAAGGTTTCGAGGAAACGTGGAATTTCAGAATTCCTAATTTTCAAACTTCCAGTCGGTTTACGCCCCTTCGGGGCTGAACCTCCTGGCCTCCGGTCGCCCTGTACCATCGCCCTTTCTGCCCATCACCGTTTTGTGTGGTGAAACCAAGGAACGTCTTCAGAAAACTTCAATATCAAAATTTAGAAAAACCAAAAGTTCGGGCATCAACTAAGGCACAATTCTGATCTATCGGACCAGGTTTCAGCTTGATCGGTTGACTTTGAATGGGTGAAAAAGTGCGCTACATACATACGCACATACAGAATCGGGTGAATGTTATTAGTAATGATTAGAGAATTCAAGATACTAGAAGATTTCGGAAGTTTCAGAATTCGATCATTGGAAAATTGTCTGAAATTTCGAAATTTGAAAATTTTGAATCTGGGACTGTGGAAATTGGGATTTTGAAACTCTAGTTTTTCCGAAATTCCAGAATGTCAGAATGTTTTCAGAATTGAAAAAAAATTGAAAACCGAAAAACCAAAAATTGGGATGATTCTTTTTTTAGTTTCTAAAAGTTAGAGATTCCAAAACCTTGAAACCTTGAAAAGAAACTTTTTCGAATCCTAGAAATTCAAAGTCGATTACTCAGAAAATCCGAAAAAATTCTAGAAAATAGAAAATCCCGAATTCCTCGAAAGTTCGGAGGATCTGTAGGAAAGTCGAAAGTTCTGAAAATTAAAAAAAAAAGTGAAAATATTAGAATTTGCCAGATAAGTCAAAAACATAGCTTTGGAAAATTTGATTTTCATATATTTTCGGCTTTTCCAGGATCTAACACAAAAGGAATCGCAATAAACCATTTTCCAGACCTAAATGTTTTTATTCCGACATGAAAAAAATTCTTGAGAGCAGGAGCACGTAGGTGCTCCTGCTCTGACAAAATTGATAAGAAAAAGTGGGAAAAATAGAAGAAATGGGGTGTTTCAAGGGAGAACGAATGGAATGACGACGATTGGAGCATCCCACAGGGTGCTCCAGAGGGACCGAGGGCGAACAATTGGTCGGTGTCAAGATAGTTAGCGTGTGTGAGGGAGAGAGAGACGCAGAGAAACAAGAGAGAGAAAGAGAGAGAGGGTTGGGAATATGATAAGGGGTCAGTGATCCCAGAGTCCAAAGTTTGAAATTTCAGAATCTCAAAATCTCAAATTTCGAAATTTTGGAATATCCTAATTTCATAGCCTTCAAAATCTAAGAATCTAAGAATCTAAGAATCTAAGAATCTAAGAATCTAAGAATCTAAGAATCTAAGAATCTAAGAATCTAAGAATCTAAGAATCTAAGAATCTAAGAATCTAAGAATCTAAGAATCTAAGAATCTAAGAATCTAAGAATCTAAGAATCTAAGAATCTTTCAAAAAGAGTGGGTGGTTCTAAATGGTCCATAGTGGTCAAAAATATAGCACGTCAGTTTGATTGTACCTGCTCAAAACAGCTGATATATTTTGTGAGTGTATAGAAAATAGAAATTGTGAAATTTCGGAGATTTTTCTAGATTCAATAGAGAGAGAGAGGGAGAGAGAGAGAGGGGGAGAGAGAGGGAGAGAGAGAGAGAGAGGGAGGGACCCCAGAATATTACACATGGATCTGGATCCGAGGAGATACGTCCCACGCTCCCATTCTCTCTCTCTTCCAATACACTAAATGATTAACAAAAAATCCAGAAGAAGGTCTGTCTGTTTCTTCTCTTTTCTCACATACAAACACATAAAACATGACAGAGTGACGGCAAAAAAGAAAAGAAAATAGAAAAAGAAGGGTCCATGAAGAAGAAAAACATGTGTGTGGTTGGTTGGTGTCATTTCAATCACGGACTAGGAGCTCTATTTTTTTGGGACTAATTTTCAATTTTTTGGGGGAGCATTTTTGGTAGATTGCGCTGAAAATAATTTCCTGGAACTTCTGAATCTCAAAATTTCAGACCTTCTGAATTTCTGAACGTTCCAGATATTTGAAAAATCCGAAATTTTGGCATTCAGAAGTCTAGAAAACTTGAAAAATGGTAGAAATTGAAAATTTCTACCATTTTCAGAATTTTCCGTTTTTGTTTTTGAAAAATGGAATTTTGGATTCTAAGATTTGGGGTTCTGAAATTGTGTAATGAAAAAGTTTAATGAAAAAGTCAATATTTTTTCAAAAAAAATCAACTCATTAGTTCTACAGTAATCCAACGAAATTTCCTAGAGCTTTCTGGAAAAACCAGGAAAATTCCAAGAACCAAAAAAAGAGGCAACATACACAGAAAATTCTTCTTATTCTTGTTCTAATGAATTATTCGATTCGATTTGTTGTCTTTTCTTGTTTTTTTTTCTTCTGGAACGACAATCGGCGGCCCGCCGATTGTCCGTTTTCGGGGGGAAAAACTAATAATATCACGGAAAACAAAAAAAAGTTCCATCGGAAATAGACCGGAAACAAAAGACAGGGTTACTGTAGGAAAAAATATTCAGAATCTGAAAAAAATTTCGAATTTCAAAATTTTAAATAAATTAAAATATGGTCGAGTGTCTAGCCAAAATTCAATTTTTAAAAAATTTCCCAACCACCGAAATTCTGAAAAAATGCCACATGACTTATCTATATGTACTTATGATAAAACAACTGTTATAGTGATAAGAAACATTTATCATTTGATTTCTGACTCATTAAAAAATCCTTTTTTTTTTGGAAATTTTTGGAAGAAGAATTCCAAAAAAAAGAGCACAAAAAAGACAATTTTTTGGGCTTTTTTCTTTTTCTTTTTTTTTTTTGGAAAAAATGGAAACAAATAAAATGAGCCAAAAAGAGTCACGCAATCTCAGAAAAAAGAGACAAAACTAACTTCCTTGGGACCAAAAAAAGAGCGAAATTGAGGCAAATGTCAACCAACAATTAGCTATGCGCCTTTAAATTTTTTTTGGGATTTGACAAAAAGTTGAAGAATATAGCAAAGTTGAAAAAAATCCTGAAAATTGGAAATTCAAAATTTTCCAAAATCACGAAAATTTAGAATTTCAAAAATTCCGAAATTCAGAAATTCAGAAATTCAGAAATTCAGAAATTCAGAAATTCCGAAATTCAGAAATTCAGAAATTCAGAAATTCAGAAATTCAGAAATTCAGAAATTCAGAAATTCAGAAATTCAGAAATTCAGAAATTCAGAAATTCAGAAATTCAGAAATTCAGAAATTCAGAAATTCAGAAATTCAGAAATTCAGAAATTCAGAAATTCAGAAATTCAGAAATTCAGAAATTCAGAAATTCAGAAATTCAGAAATTCAGAAATTCAGAAATTCAGAAATTCAGAAATTTTTCCTAAAAATCCATAATTGAGAAAATTAAATAAAGTTATTAACATTCCAAAAAGTTCTAAAAAATTTGAATTTTTTGTTGAAATCCAAAAGTTTCGAAAATTCAAGTCATTAGTTTTTCTGGCGTAAAAAAGTTGGAGAATCTGAAAGTTCCAAAATCTGAAAATTTGAAACTTTCAAAGAATTTCTGAATTCCAATAAAAAATCGTCAGACCACCCAGCCAAGCCAAAGCGGCAAAAAACTTCTGGAGACACGAAAAAATCGAAAAAATGAAACAAAAAAGATTTTCGAAATCTTCTGCTCTCCGCTTTTTCAAAATTCAATTTTCTATTGTTTTCCAAAAAAGAAATCACACGTCATCTGAGATTTTGTGACTTTTTTGTTTCTCTCGAAAATTTCTTATTGCTCATCCCTAATTTTTTAAAAACTGACTTGAAAAAATAAACACTTTTTTGTTCATTTTTTTTTTGAGAAAAAATGAAGAAAATGATGAAGATTTTTTGGCGAGAAAAAAAAACAAAAGACACATTTTTTGTGTTGACAAATGACTGGGGAACGGCCCGAGTCTCGGATTTCTTCGTTCCGGATCATTCTGAAGAATGATGTCACAGAAAGAAATTGGAATCAAAAAATGACGAGGGAAAGGCTTATGAATAATTTGTCGAGTTAAGAGGAAGTTTAAAAATGTTAAATGTCAGAATTGGGAAATACCATACTCGAGCCAAATTATCTCGATTCCAGTAAAAGATATCGAAAAGTTGTTAACTGATAAAATATTTCTGATAATATGATAAACATTTTAACTGCCAGCCGTTTTTTGATATCTTTCACAGAAACCGAGATAAATGAGCTCAAAGTTATAGGTTAAAGAAGAAATACAGAAAGAGTTGGGCCTCCTTACTTCGAGGAAATTTATCTCGGTTCCTATAAAAGATATTAAAAAGTTGTTAACAAAAAAATATTCATCATAATACTGTTAACATTTTATCAGTTAGCCGTTTTTTGATATCTCTTACAGTGATAATAAAGCTCAAAGTATTGACTGTATAAAATTCCACAGAATTTAATTTACTTTGACGCTAATTATCTCGGTTCCTGTGACAGATATCAAAAAGTGGTCAACTAATAAAACGTTTTTAATCATATGAATAGAATTTTATCAGTCAACCGTTTTTTGATATCTTTCACAGGAACCGAGATAATTCAGCTCAAAGTGTTGACTATATAAAATTCCACAGAATTTTTTTGATAGAAAACTTTGACGCTAATTATCTCGGTTTTAATTGGAGATGTCAAAAAGTTGTCAACTGATAAAATATTGCTGATAATATGATAAACATTTTATTGGTTGACAACTTTTTGATATCTTTCACAGGGACCGAGATGATTGAGCTCAAAATTATAGGTTAAAGAAGACATACAGAAAGAGTTGGGCCTCCTTAACTTTACCGAAATTTATCTCGGTTCCTATAAAAGATATCAAAAAGTTGCTAACTAATAAAATGTTTATCATAAAACTGTTAACATTTTATCAATTGACAACTTTTCGATATCTTTTACAGGAACCGAGATAAATTGGTTCAAAGTTAAAAATTAAATAGCGGGGGAACTATTTTATTAGAACGATTACAGTAACTTTCTTTTTCAAACATAAAAATTAAAGTAATTTTGAATTTTCACACAAAACATTTTCCCAAAAAACCGTTCTTGATTTTTCTGTGACCAAAGACGAACACTATAAGACGATACATACTTCCGTTCTTCTTATTCCTTTTCCCACAAACACAAGAAAAAAAGGGAATCTCGGTCAATTCGAAAATCTGTTAAGTACACAGTCGTTAAAAAACAGACACAGGAGACGAGAAAAAAGATGAGAGAAAGAAGAATGTGTGTGTGTTTTTTTTTGGGAAATTGATGACACCCCCAATTTTTGATCGATGAACCCACAGGCACCCAAGTTAGGTGTCAAAGAAAAAACCAGAAAAAAGGACTCTTAAATTTGGTCCCATTTATCTCGAACTCTGTGAAAGATATGAAAGAGTTGTTAACTGATAAAATAATGTTCATGATATCAGCAACATTTTATCAGTTGACAACTTTTTTATATTTTTCACAGGAAGCGAGATAATTAGGGTCAAAGTTAGAGAGTATCCCTAAAAAACGCGCCAAGGGGGCCATTGGCGCCATCCGCGTACTGCTGGCGCCTTTCTTGCAGCACTTGAATTTTTGCTGAATTTTATCTTTCTAGAAAGGTTTTGACCTCGTTTTTCGAAATTTTATCTTTTAAAAGTTGTGAAAAAGTTCTTTGGCTATTGAAAAATTGCCAAAAGAAGGACTAAATGTTGGAAAGCTAATAACACAGCCCATATTTCATTAAATACTAAATTTTTGCACTTTTTTAATAGTCAAAAATCTTTTTTACAATCGCTAGAAAGTACATTTTAGAAAAACTGGCTAGAAATTTTTTTAGACATACCTAAAAGTCAAAAAATTCGAGTGCTGGAAGAAAGGCGCCAAGGGAGCGGGATAGTAAAGCTCTTTAATTTTGACTCCATTTATCTCAGTTCCCGTAAAAGATATCAAAAAGTTGTCAATTGAGAAATTGTTTATCATAAAATGATAAATGTTTTATCAGTTTACAAAATTTTGATATCTCTAACAGGAACTAAGATACACCATGTCTAAATTAAGGGTTTTTATTTTTCTAGTGGGCCGTCAGAGAGCTCAGCTCTCACCCAATTTATCTGGGTTCCTGTAAAAGATATCAAAAAGCTGTCAAATGATAAAATGTTGCTGATAATATGATAAATATTTTATCAATTGATCATCTTTTGATATCTTTTACAGAAACCGAGATAAATATGGTCAAAGTTAAGGGTATGTCAAAATTGTTTTTTTTTCTAAAAAAAATTGAGAGAGAGAGAGAGAAATAAGAAGTTCAAAAAGATTAACAAAAGAACGTACCTCATCACACGCCGAGCATCTCGGTTTGTGCAGTTCGGCGTAGTGCCGCTCACAGTAGATTTGGTTGTCCTTTACGCAGTACGTCAAATCGACAAGGAGCTGAAAAAACAATTTTTGGAGTTAAAATTCTGAAAAGTTGGCTTCAAATTGACAAAACTGCCAAAACTAGTTAGCTTCAAATCCAAAATTTTGGATTTTAAATTCTACAAATTTTGTCTTTAAACCCGAAAAGTGGACTTTAAGATTCCAAAATTAGATTCCAGAACTCACATATTTTGAATTTAAAATTCAAAATTTTTGTCTGAAACAACAAAAAAGTAAATCTAAAATTAAGCCTAGTAGCGCGTTTGCAACCTTACCTGCTCACACGTCTGACATGTGAAACAAGCCGGATGCCATCCAGTCGAATCGCCAAGCTTCGGAGCGATCACCGCCATCTCGTTTGTTTCCAGAATTCCCGAGCATTTGTGGCACTCCTGAAACAATTTGAAAGTTTGACATTAAAAGGGTCCAATGCGAAATTTTAGGCTCTTTCGAATGGTATAAAAATCAAAAAAGCAGCTTAAAAATGAACGAAGTTATGGTCCGTTGTTTAAAGTGCTATTTATTTTCACATAAAACATATTTGGCAATTGCGCTCCACCGAACAAAAAAAGATTTGCAATTCAAGTTTCTACTTCACCTTGTCACATTCATTATGTCAAAACAATATTGAAATTACTAGATTTATTGAGCCCTCAATAAAACACCATAGTGGGAGAAAAGAGGCGGAGTTTCCCCCATGGGAAGAAAAATGGGGCGGGGCTCGTTCTCTTGCACTTTGAGCTCAATTATCTCGATTCCTATAATAGATCTGGAAAGTTTCATAACTGATAAAATGTTGCTGATAGTATGATAAACATTTTCTCAGTTTACAGCTTTTCGATAGCTTTAATAGGAACCGAGATAATTTAGCCCAAAGTGCTCGCCATATCATATCTCGCAAAATTTGGTGTATGGGACATTTTGACCCTAATTATCTCGGTGGCTATAAGAGATATCAAAAAGTAATTAATTGATAAATTGTTGCTGACATTATGATAAACAATTTATTAGTTGACAAATTTTTCATATCTCTAATAGAAACCGAGATAATTGAGCTCAAAAAGCACGCGGCTGAGCTAGACTGCCGACCGCTTGATGCCTACACTTTGATTTCAATTATCTCGATTCCTATGATAGATCTGAAAAATTTGTCAACTAATAAAATGTTTATCATAACATCACCTACATTTTATCAGTTGACAAATTTTTGATATCTTTTACAGCAACCAAGATAATTGAGCTTAAAATTAAATGACTCCTTTTTCAAACCTACTCACCATAGCTTTATTGATATTAGAGGACACATATCCAATGTCCAATGCAATTTCATTTCTTGCATTCACGAATTCCTCATAAACTTTTCTCTCCGTTTGTGTTGTCAAGTGTCTACAGTATGCCACTGATAAGTCTTGACGTGGCAACTGGACCAGAAGTTGTTTTTCGCGAAGTTTCTCTCCAGATGAATTGGTTCGAGGCACTACATTGTTCGGCAGTTGGGACATGTACTCTTCAACCTAAAAATGATGAAAAATGAGATTTTTGATTCGGCGGGAAATTTGAAAATTCCATAATGTTTTGATTTTCCGGAAAAATGATGTCCGGAAATTCAGAATTTCAGAATTTCAGAATTTCAAAATTTCAAAATTTCAGAATTTCAGAATTTCAGAATTTCAGAATCTCAGAATCTCAGAATCTCAGAATCTTCAGAATTTCAGAATCTCAGAATCTCAGAATCTTCAGAATTTTTGATTTTCAGAATCTGGGAAATTCTGAAAATTCAAAAAATGATTTAATAAAATCGATTTTTCTAATTCCTTCGAAAACTATAGTAACCCAATTTGAAGCATCGTACCTCTCGTCACCTGTTCTCTACAGTAAGCCCATATCTACAGTAATTACAGTTCCCAAAAAAGCAGTAGCCCACCGTAACCCAATCGGAAGCATCGTACTTTATCACTCTTTTTCTACAGTAACCCAAAAGTAGGCTACACAATAGTCCTTATATCTACAGTATCTACAGTTTATCTACATTATGTACAGTAGCCCAAAAAACAAAAAATCTACAGTAACCCCAGTAAGGGAGCTGCGATAACTGAAATTGATCAGCCAGACTGTAGACCCCGTATCTAAGTATCTACAGTAAGTACAGTAACCCAAATACCTGCAGTAACCGAAAAAACAGTAGCCTACAGTAACTCCACCGGACGCATCGTACTTTATTCGTTTTGTACAGCAACCCAACAAAAGCTAAGCTACACGATAGTATCCATATCTACAGTATCTACAGTATTCACAGTAAATACAGTAACCCCAAAAGAAAAGAACTCACATCGATCAACCAATTATTTTTGGTTTTTCTAAAGAACTCTCCGGCTTTTTGCATGAATCGAATCATGAACGGATCGCCACGCATGTTTTCGGTTAGTAGTCCCATTTTCAGTCGTTTTTTAAAAGAATTTTCAGACAAAAATAAAAAATTGCAGACAATTTTTTTTCGATCTAAAAATTCGGAGAAGTCAAAATGGGAAAGGAATCTTTTAGGAGCAAATAGAGCAAAAATGAACAGTAGTAGTAAATGAGGAGAAGCGAGAGAGCATGGGAAGTGAGGAGGGTGGTTAGAGAAATGAGAGAGAGTATTTGTGATATGGATTAACTTTGTAGAATTTCATTTTTTTGAAACAAAAAAATGAAAAAAGGAGAAGAAGAAGAAGATAGTGATCTAGAAATAGAACGGGAACTGATAGGATTTTGGTACAGAAAACACAGAAAAATTCGAAAATTCAGAAATTCAGAAATTCAGAAATTCGGAGATTCGGAAATTCAGGATTTCAGAAATTCAGAAATTCAGAATTTCAGAAATTCAGAAATTCAGAATTTCAGAAATTCAGAAATTCAAAAATTCAGAAATTCAGAAATTCAGAAATTCAGAAATTCAGAAATTCAAAAATTCAGAAATTCAGAAATTCAAAATTTCCGAGTTGTCTCAAAACTCCAAAAAATTAGACCTTTCAAGTTACCGTAAAACCTGCAATAGAAGGGTTCTCGCACTGTCAACTTTAACACAATTTATCTCGATTCCTGTAAAAGATATCAGCAATGTGTCATAAAATATTGGTAAAAATATGATTATCAATTTATCAGTTGACACATTGTTGATATCTCTCACAGCACTTGATTTAAATAAGCTCAATGTTGGGAGCTAGAGGCTCTATTACAGGTCTTACAGTAAGCTAAATTCCCAAAAAATTCAAATTACGTGCGAAAAATCAAAATTCAAAAATTCAAAAAAGAGCACAAAGACTAAAAAATTAATCTTTATAGAAAAGTAAATAAATCAGGGTCATTATTATTAATTTTCAATGTAAATATTTGAAAGATTTAGGTTTTTGGATAGGTCAAAATTTTTAGATACCGTAAAGCCTGTATTAGAAGGGCCCCTGTAATAAAAGAGCCCTCCGGTGGTACCTTGGTACAATAGAAAGGCCGAAAAAATGTTTTGCAAAAACTAATTTTTTTCCAATAGTAAATGACCCAATTTTACAAAGTTAATGAAATTCATTCGTGTTTCAAAGTCATGAAAAAATCCAAAAAAGAAACTTTTTCGGTCAAAAACTACCGTAAAACCTGTAATAGAAGTGCCCCCCACTGTCAAGTTTAAGCTCAATTATCTCGGCTCCTATAAGAGATATCAAAAATATGTCAACTGATAAAATGTGTAGGATATTATGATGAACAATTCATCAGTTGATAAATTTTTTATATCTTTATCAGGAACCGAGATAAATCGGTTCAAAGTTGAAAATTAGGGGGCCCTTCTATTACAGGTTTTACGGTATATAAGAAAATGGAATTTTCTGACGTTGAAAGTTCAAAAATATAAGACCAAACCGAAATTTTCAAATCAAATCTATATGTATCTATCTTTGATCGTGTCGACAAATGTAAACAGATTTTTTGGGGGGATAAGAGGGGTGTGGTGTGATTGGTATAGATGGACCAAACGCAAATAAAACTTATTGAAAAATACAATTTTTTGAGTTTTGAACCCAAAAATAAAAGCGTTTTAAAGGTGGGGGGACATGAAAAAAATATTGTTCTCGAAATTTCGTTTAAATATGCCTCTCGAGGAGTTGAACGTGTGGGACGAGGATTGAGGGTGCGGCGCCGCTACCGACTGAGCTACACGGGCAAAGAGAAAGCGGTCGCCCGATTGCATACATAAAGGCGAGGACGACCGCTGTACGCAGAGTGACATTAAGCATTGTACACCGTCACGGTAGAATGCATACTCTGGCCCCAAAAATCCCCCGTAAAATCTCCCGTCCCCCCACCTTTAAAGACTTAGATAGTCACGAGAAACGGCTTAAAATGAAATAAAATTTCACTTCATCCTTCAACTTTGGATTACTGTAACTTGCTTTGGAAATCAAAAAAATTTTCAATTTCATTTTCAATTTCAGAAGATTATGAGCTTCAAAACGAGCATAAACATGGTTGGGTTTAGAATTTTTAGAAAATTTCAGAATTTAAAAATAAAGTTAAACATGCTGTGAATAATTTAAAATAATTGCAAAATTTTGAAAATTTTCAAAAAATAGAAATTTCAAAAAAAAAAAAAGAATAAACAGGTGAAAAGATAGGTCAATGTCAATCCTCAGTCAGTATGAGAACCTGAGAACAGGTGGCTGGATGATCAATTGGCGCCAATTTGAATTTTATGTATATGAGAAACTAGCGATTTCAAAAAAAACAATAGAAGGGAAAGAGAAGAAATTCGAATTCTGGTCCAGCCATTTTTTAGGCATTTCGATTTCCAAATGAAATTTGAAATTTTTGAATTCTTATGTAAAATTTTACGTCCTTTCAAATGGTATAAGATTCAAAAAGCTGGCTAAAAAATGAACAAAGTAATGGTCCGTTTTCTAAAGTACATTTTCAGACACGCAACATTAACTATGTTCAAGTTTGTATATTCTTTCTTGGTTCAGTCATTTTTTGAGCATTTTTATTGTAGTTTATAAATTCTAAAGTAAAATTTTACCTTCTTCCGGACGGTATAAAAACCAGAAGGCTAGCTTGAAAATGAACAAAGTTATGGTCAGTTTTCTGAAGTGCCTTTTTCAGGTACGCCAAGCAGTATATGCGGCCGGCCGCGGCCGGCCATACGACAGCTTGGTCCGGTACGGTACACTAGTAGTAATGAGTTTTGGTGCGATGCTTAAGTTTGTCCAAGTCTTGCCCAAGTCTTGTCTAAGTCTTGCCCAAAACCACTAACCTTCTTTCTGGTGAGTCCTGGTGGCACCCATGCGTATCCATGACCAACTGATCCGGGCACCTCGACTTCGGCGACGCCTGATTGTGGCATTCCGGCTGGAAAATAAAACAATTATGAAAATCAAAAATTATTTTTAAAAGTAGATTGAGGTTTTGGACCATATTTATCTGTTTTTCAGGCTCCAAAATGCCAAATTTTGAGCAAAACTGGGTCCTTAACTATGACACAATTTATCTCAGTTCCCAAAAGAGATATCAAAAAGTTGTCAACTGATAAAATATTGCTGATAATATGATAAACATTTTATCAATTGAAAGTTTTTTGATATCTGTTCCAGGAACCGAGATAAATATGGTCAAAATTTTAGGATGCCTTCTTCGGCTGATTTAAGTAAAAAAAGGTTCTTATCTTTAACCTAAGTTATCTCGGCCCATATAAAAAATATTAAAAAGCTGTCAACTGATAAAATTTTGCTGATAGTATGATGAACATTTTATCAATTGACAACTTTTTGATATCTTTCACAGGAACCGAAATAAACTGAATCCAAAATTGAAAATTTGAAAATTCACAGCATTCAGCCGCCGGTGAGCCGCCAACGAGCCGCCAACGGCCTAAAAACCTACTTTTCGATTTTTCAAAGAAAGGAGAACCCTTAATTTTTGTGTCTGCTATTCTTATACTTGTAAAAAATCCCCAATTTCAAAATCCGGTTATGAAAATTGGTCCCTTTTTTCCAAAAAAATTTTTTTTGAAATTTTATTTTTAGAACGAAAGTCTCGTTTTATGCTTTCTTCCAGATCATTAAACAAAATCGAGAAGACATAAAAATGGATAAGGACCCTAAAAACGGCTCTTTGTTTACCATGGCCGAGTTGTTTTATTGGTTTTCTAGGCCATACCGTACCTGGTGGCTGAATACCGAGTCGATTGTAGACGTTTAGGGCTTGATTTGGCGGCAATTCGTGGTCCGCCCGGTCGGACTTACAGTGGACGCAGACTTTTCTGGAAATATATAAAAATTAGAAAAAGAAAAAAATTGAAAACATGTTTTAATCCCAAAATTTAGCTTTAAAATTTGTACTAAACAATCTTTTCCTTACAAAAAAAACGATTTCAGAGAGTATGAGAAATGGAGAGACGCAGAGAAAAAGGAAAAAGGAAAAGAGCATTTTTTTTTTGGGGTGTTAAAATGTAAACAAATGTTTCTTTTGGGAGAAGAAAAAAAAACATTTTGGTGGGAGCAAAATTTTAGGAATTTGGGGGAAAATCAAAATTTTTCGAATTTTTCGAAATTTCGAAAATCTGAAAATTTGTGAAATTCTGGAAGTCCAGGATTTTAGAGCCTCGGAAATTCAGAATTTCAGAATTTCAGGATTTCAGAATTTCGGTATTTCAGATTTTCTGAATTTCAGAATTCCATAGTTCCTAAAAATCCTAAGAATCCTGAGAATCCTAAGGATCCTAAGAATCTAATCAATTTTCAGAAAAAAAAATCATGGAATTTCTGAATTTCAGAATTTCAGAATTTCAGAATTTCAGAATTTTTGAATTCCAGAATTTTCGAATTTCAGAATTTTTGAATTACAGAAATTCAGAATTTCAGAATTTTCGAATTCCAGAATTTCAGGATTTCAGAATTTTCGAATTTCAGAATTTTGCAGTTTTAGAGTTTCAGAATTTCAGAAATTCAGAATATAAGAAACCGCAATGCTAAGAATCTAATAATCTTTAAAATTTTGAAAAATAAAAAAAAAATTTTCAGAAAAAAAAATTATGAAATTTCTGAATTTCAGAACTTTTAGAATCTAGAAAAATCCAATTTTCGAATAGGCAAGAGTTTGGAATTTTGGGTTTCAGGGATCCATTCAGATTTTTAAAATTTCAGAAACTAAGAATTCTAGAATTTCAGTATTTCAGATTTTCAGAATTTCAGAATTTCAGCATTTCAGACTTTCAAAAACTCGAATTTTCTGAATATCAGAATATCGAAATTTCAGAATTTCATAGTTTTAGATATTCAGAATTTCAGAACTTCGGATTTTATTTTTTCAGAATCTCGTCTAAAAACCGGAAGGAATGTAACTGGATGGCTGGTGGTGGTCCGGGTGCATGTATCTATGTATATGTGCTCTCCTTCTTCTCAAAATTCGGGAGGGGGTCCCGCGGGAAAAAAGAGAAGCCCCCATACAAAACCAAAACGAAGGGGGGGGGGGGCTTTCACGACCCATCGAAAAACCCGGCCCCGGGCATTTTGTACATACAAATACATACAACAACTCAGAGCCACCCATCCCTTGCTTCTTCCCGCTCCAACTAAACATTTGAATTTTAAATTTTTGAGTAGTTGGAAAAGCAGGAAAATGGAGGAAAACAGGCTGTTATGAATGTTATGGGGTCAAAGTCTAGTTTGAAGGGATTTGCATTAGAGCGCATTTGCAAAAATAGCTTTTTGAAGAAAATAGCAGAACATGAAAAAGTTGGCATTAGAGCGCGATTGCATTTTCTGAGGGTATTTTGAGGTTACTGTAGATGTTACAGAGGGTTTTTTCGACTTTCAGAAAAAATTCAGAAATTCAGAAATTTAGAAATTCAGAAATTCGGAAATTCAGAAATTCAGAAATTCAGAAATTCAGAAATTCAGAAATTCAGAAATTCAGAAATTCAGAAATTCAGAAATTCAGAAATTCAGAAATTCAGAAATTCAGAAATTCAGAAATTCAGAAATTCAGAAATTCAGAAGTTCGGATATTCAGAAATTCAGAAATTCCAGAAATTCAGAAATTAAGAAATTCAAATTTTTGAAAAATCAAGAAAACAAAAAGTTCCAAAATTACGAAAATCCATAAACTCAAAAATAGATGATTCGAAATGTTTCTGAAAATTCCAAAAAAAGTAAATTCTAGAAAATCCGGGAAATCCAAAAAAAATTTAAGTTTTCAGAAAATTAAAGAATTCAAACAATCCAAACTTCCGGAAAATTCAAAACAAAAATTCTGAAAACGCTGAAAATCAAAAAAACTAGAAAAAATGAGAAAAGAGGAAAAAAAATGCCTAGTCAAATCGTAGGGGACACTATACACACTATATATACATGACAAATCGGATTCCCATCTTCTTTTTTCTCTTTAAATTCAAAAAAAAACCAGACCAAAAAATTTTATGGGACCTCATAAATTTGTCTATTATTATCTCTTTTTTTTTCAATGGGGGACATTCCAAAATGTTCAAAAATCATAAATTCGAATTTTCAAAATTTTTTGAAAATTTCAGATATTATTTCAAAAAACCGCTTTTCAGAAAATCCTGGAAAATTGATAAATTTCAACAAAAGCTGCTCCATAGACACACTATCAAGTTCGCTCTACTGAACACTCCAACTATCTACATAAAAAATTTAGAAAGGAATGCAAATCTAATTAGAATTTCCTAGCCCCCCTGACAAGTGCGCTCCAGTGCAAATATTTCAAATTCGCTCCATTGACAAAACCCCAAAAGCCCAGGGATATTCGAGATTCTACTACCTACTATGCCCAAAAAAGTATTGAGTTTCTGTGGATTTTGTTTTAGGCGATTTTTCTGGAAAATTTGTATAAATACACAGAGAACACGAGAAGAGGATTATGGAAATTGGAGATGTTTTGTGTGGAGAGAGAGAGAGAGAGAGGAGGTGATCGGATTACTGTAGAAATGTTCAATTCAGCAAGAACTGACCAACAAAAAATAAAAATGCTAAACACGCAGACAACTTTTGGCCCCCCGCCTCTAAATTCCATTTTTCTCCCAGATGAGCAATTTTATTGTGCATCTGTGCCCCTCGAAAAGTTGTCTTGTTCCCTTTTTTTCCAAAAAAAAAATCCTTTTTTTTCAAAATTGTTTTCCCTTGGTTCGTTAGTACCGGAAGGTCCAGCAGGCCCTGGCACGGACCAACACATTTCATTGGTCCGAAAAAATTCCTTTTTTTTTGGAATTTCTCAATCAGTGCAAAAATGAAACTAGCAAAATTTGGTTATTTTTGTTGAAAGTGCGCTCTAAAGAACTTTTTTTTTTAATTAAAAAAAAAAAGAAATTTTCAAGATTTCAAAGAGCAACACTTAGATAGTGTGTAGAAATTTAGGAGAGATAAGAGAAAAAATGCAAATCAGAGATGATTTTTAAAATTAGTAGAAATAAAATTTTCAAAATTTTCAAAATTTCATATTCCCAAAATTTTGAAATCTCAGCAATTTTAGAATTTCAGAACTTTCAGAATTTCAGAATTTCAGAATTTCAGAATTTCAGAATTTCAAAACATCAGGATTTCGAAATTTCAGATGTTCACATGTTCAGAAGTTCAGAATTTCAACAAATTCTCAAAAAAGTTTCTCTTCTTTCCCTCTCCTCTAGACAATTTTATCTCAATCAAAAAATCTTTAAAATCCAGTATACATAGTGGATAAATTGAATTTTCTCCCTTTTTTTGCAGGAGGAAAAATGCTAGCCAAAATCTGTTCATCTCTTTTTTTTGTTACTATTAAATTATTCTTCTTTGTCTACTTTTTTTTTCAATTTTTCGATTTCTTGAAGTTAGTTCCAAAAATTCAGATTTTCAGTGAAAAAACAATCAATTTTAGAGTCCCACAAAAAGTAGTTCAACATTTTCCGATTTGTCTAGAAATTTCAGAGTATACTAAACAAAACTAGAACTATATTTTGGTTGTTGACAACTTTTCTGAAAAGTTTCATCCTGAGGAGATATGCTACTCGGAAGGGACCCTCCCCTCTTGTGACATGAAGGTGCACACCCCCCCCCCCCCCTGGTAGTCCCTTCCGCACGGCGACATATTTCTTCAGAACCTCATTTTACACAAAAGTTGGAAATTACAAAAATGTAGTTATAGTTTTGTTTAGTATACTCTGGAATTTCCAAAAAAAATTTAAAAAGTTTAAACTAGGTTTCAGAGAGCTCCAAACTTGACAATTTTCAACTGGTAAATGGTCAATATGGCTAATCAAGCTTAATTATCTCCATTTCTGTAAGAGATATCAAAAAGTTGTCAAGTGGTAAAATTTTCATTTATTTATTAGAAATACTTTGTTAGTTGACTATTTTTTGACATTTATTACAGGAAATGGGATATTTAGGCTTAAAGTTAGTGTGCATTTATATCCCAAGTGAGCTGGGAGCTTAACTTTCATTTCACAATTAATCTCGATTCCTGTGAAAGATATTAAAAAATCAATAACTGATAAAATGATTATCATATGATCTGAAACATTTTAACAGTTGACTATTTTTCGATATCTTCTACAGGAACCGAGATAATTTAGCTTAAAGTTAACGGTTTGAAATCCAGAAAAATGCAACCGCGCTCTAATGAACATTGTTCACTTTTTAAGATTCCTTGTTTTTACATTTTTCATCCCTATTTCCATTTATATTCTAAAAAAACCTTTTTTCCAATAAAAACACACACACACTTCTTCCTTTTTTGATTTTTTTATTCAAAAACCGACAAACTATCAATTATTTCCTCTCAAGCACAAGAGAGAAAAAATGAGTACTTTTGGGTACTAGTACTAGTAGTAGTACTAGTCAAAACGACAATTTTCGAAAAACAAAAAAGAAAGAGAACCTAAAATTGGAAACGGATTCGAAATCGGAGCCGTCATGGAGGAGGAGATGGGAAGAAATAATAATTGGGTGGGACCGGATTTTCAGAAATTCAGAAATTCAGAATTTTTGGATTTCAGGTTTTCGGTGATTCCGAATTTTTGAAATTGGATCTTTGAACTTTTTTGATAAATTTTTCCAAAATTCCGAATTTCCAAAAGTTACCAAATTTGAAAATTTGAAAGTCTGAAAATCTAGGAACTTATTTGAAAAATTCGGATTTTGAGAAATTTTCTAAACTCCCGAATTTCCGGATTTTCGAAAACTTTCAACTTTTACGATTTTTCGTCCCCTTTCAACTTTTTATGATTTTCCATGTCAATTAGTAGAGGAGCAGTGTGTGTTCATTTACTACCGGAGATATACATAAAACAGGAGAGAGAGAGAGAGAGAGAGAGAGAGAGAGAGAGAGAGAGAGAGAGAGAGAGAGAGAGAGAGAGAGAGAGAGGCGCAGACGTTTAGAGAAAAGAAGAAGAGGAAGAATAAAGCTGGTCCCCAGAATATAAGAACCAAAAGTGGGAGGAGGGGATATGTGAAACTTGATATTCATATTCTTGCTTCTTCTTCTTCTTCTTTTTCTTCCTTCCCATTCGTTTGATTCAAATGAGAGGAGCCTTCTGCTTTTGGCAGCAGAATGAAACGAGAAGACTGACTGACTGGTCAGTCAGCAAAAATTGTGAATGGACACTTCATAAACGTACCAACAAGAATAAATTTTCAATGAAAAAAATTCTTACAGTTAGCTTCAACAAACAAAAAAGCTCAAAAAAAAGCATTGTGCACTTTGAACCTGTATATCTTATTTAGTGTAAAACACATCGGAAAGTGGTCAATTGACAAAATGCTTATCATATTATCAGAAAAATTTTATCAGTTGACCACTTTTTGATATCTTTCACAGGAGCCGAGATAATTAAGCTTCGTTGTTGCGCCCTATTGATCTGTTGAACGCCGCCCTATGCTTGCATTTTGTAACTTATTTATCTCAATTTCTGTAAAAGTTATCCAAAAATGGTCAACTAACAAAATGTTTATCATATTATCAGCAACATTATATCAGTTGACCACTTTTTGATATATTTGACAGGAGCCGAGACAATCAAGCGCAAAGTTAAGCTCTCTACCAGCCTCATTTATGAAATATAAACGCCCTAACTTAGATCTAATTTATCTTGGTTACTGTAAGAGGTATCAAAAAGTTTTAAAAAGATAAAATATTGCTGATAATGTGATAAACATTTTATCAGTTGACAACTTTTTGATATCTTTCACAGGAGCCGAGATAACTAGGCTCAAAGTTAGGGGGCATAAAATTAGTGAAATTGAAAAAGAATCAAAAGCAATTTTCGGATTAAGTTTTTTTTCGTTTGGATTATATCTAGAATTTTTGTAACTGCAGTTGAATTATTATAACTTTTGTTGCTCCGAAATTTTGAGCTGAAAAGTGAAACTAAAAAAAAATTTCTAAAGGATTTTCTGAGGAAGTTCGCGGAGCGAAAAACGGATTTAAAAAGTTCTCACGACTGGCCAAAACGGATTTTAGAGAGAAATTTTTGAAAAAAAAAAGTGGGAACAAGAAGAGGAAAAAGTCAAACATCATGATGAAACTTTTTTGGTTTTTTTTTTTTTGGAAATTTCAGATTTTTTGAAATATGGAAAATATTTTTTTTTGAGTTTTTTTTTCACTATTTTTGAATTTTTCCAAAATTTTGAATGTTTTCTCAAAAATTCAAAAAAAAAACCTTTTTTTTTTTTAAATCCCAAGAAGTTTGAAATTCGATTTTTTAGAAAAAAAAATAATTTTTATGAAAAAATTCATAAATTGGTAATTTTCAATTTTTCAAAAAATCAGATTTCGAAGAACCAGAAAAAAATTGTTTTTAACAATTTCTGTTGAAATACCAAAATTTTCATATTTTAAGTGTTTCAGAAAAGTTCAAATTTTGCTGAAAAAGCAGCCCAAACGGTCCAAGTACATGGTCCAAATTTTAAAAAGTCCAGTTTTTCAGATTTTTAAGAGTCCAATGTCAAACTTACAGTTTAAAAAGAGTCCAAGGCATTTTTGGAAGTTTTAAAAAGTCCAATTTTAAATGAAGGGGCCCAAGTGATTTTCCAAAATTTGGAATAGTCCATTTTTAAAAGTCCAAATCAATTTTTAGTCCGAAATTCAAAAACTCACACCGCCAAATCCGTCTTCACCACTCCTGGCGTCTGATTTGATGTTCCTTTTCCACTAGGTATCCGTTTTGGAGGTTGCCTTCTTGCTGGCGGACTTCCAACCGAATGGTTCGCAGGATTCACTTGGACAGCGGCCGGCCGCGAATCCCGCCTTTCCATGGGCGGGGAGCACGAGAAGCTCGGCTGGATTTTCGCGTGTTTTGTATTGGAATTTGTCGGGGGTACTGTAGACGTCGGCGGCACGACACCTCCATTCTTATCCTTCGTCTTCTTGCCCCGCCCGACCATTCCTCGAACCATGGCACGCATTTTAAGACTGGGTGGGTCACCTGCCACGTGGCATCAGAATACAATAGAATAGTGGGAAGATATATATGGCAATATATAGGGTGAGGATGGGAAAGGACCCAGAGCTAGTAGAGAGGACTAGGGCCTTGGTGTCTTCCGAGGTTTTGCGAGAGAGAGTGGGAAGAGACGCAGAGAGGGGGAGAGAAAGTGGGCGGAGCCAAATTTCGGAGCAGGAGAAGTAGAAGAAGAAGATGGGGGAGAAGAAGGAAAGCGAGTAGGGATGGGATGGGAGTGGAAAGAAGAAGAAGCGGAGAAGAGAAGGGATGCAGTGGGAAGTGCTGGTGGTGGTCCTGCTGACGAGAGAGAGAGACAGGATGTATCCGGTTGGCTGCGTTCACACCTTGACAGAGGCTGCTCCGCATAATTTTCGTTTTACAATTTTTGACCTCTCTCTGCCGGCTCTTGCTCAGGGGGCGAACTCTGGGGGTCCCAAAGGCCCATGGGGTCCCAAAAGGATTAGGGTACTTCCGGATGGTCAAGGTCAGGATCCTGGGGTCATGTCTTTTTGATCTTGCTCCTGCTGTGGTCCGGACGACCTAAGCCCAAGTGGTCTAGCTTCTTGAGATCTAGTTGCTCTAGCAATTGACAATCTAGATTCCTGTGGCCTTGCTCAGGCTAGGTCCGGCTGCTTCGGCATCTGGTCATTGGCTACCTGGCGGTCTGTTGGTTTAGGGTTGTATGTCAAAGCGCTTCAGGTGGTCTAGCTCCCGAGGTTGAGACCAGATGACCTGGATTCTGGTCTATGTCCTCCTGGTCTTGTCGTGGTCTTGGTGGTCCTAGTTTTGGATCTTTGGTGCCAGTTCGTTGTGGTGGAGTCTAGCTCATGATGATTCCTAGCTCATGCTTCTGAGACAAGCTCCTGATTGTGATGGTGCTCCTGAGCTTAGCTCCTGGTATCTGTGGTTCCGGTCCAAATAGCTATAATGGCTATTACGGGCCTTATGAGCTACAGTATTTTTAGGATCTTACGTCCCGATGATCCAGGTCCTGGCGGTGAAGGCGGTCTAGATGCTCTAGCTCCTGGTAATCCAGGTGCTGATATCCTGGAGATCTAGGTTCCGGTCTAGGTGGTCTAGGTGATTTTTCAGCTTCGGATGATCTGGGATCCATGTTCTTGTTGTCCACATTCTTGCCAGGTAGCCCCTTGGTTCTTTGATTTTGCTCCTGAAGATGTAGGAGCTTTGTTGTGGTCTGGATGGCTTGGATCTCACGGATGTTGATGGCCTTCTAGGTCAAGATATTTGTAGTCAAGTTTCTGTCGATTTACAGTTCCAGGCACGTTGTCTAGCCATCTGATCATTCAATTCAAAATCTATGCTGTTTCTGATCCTTCTGGTTTGATTTGAATAATCTAGTCTAGGTCCTTGTGGCCTCTTGCTCCATGGGAACGATTTCTTGAGTCTGAAGTTTCTAAATTCAGATTTTAGCCACCAGCTACTCGCATGTTCCACCATGGATTCAGGTTGTTTTTGGTCCGTTTTTGGCCCATTTTCAGCCCTTTTGGCCCGTTTTCGGTTTCCCTTTCTAGCCCTACTGACTGCTTCAAAACCCAAAACGATTTCAAACTTCCCCTACAAGTCCATTAGCGCGCACTTTCATTATTTTCCCCTAGCATCCTTCGGTCCGTTTTTGATTCGTGTTTGTTCAGTTTTTGATTCCAGTGTTGCGAGGAACCCCGATTTTCAAATTCAAACTTTAAAAAGTCTACCAGAGCGCACTTTCTTATCCTTTCCTTCTTCTTTTCCTTTTTTCAGAACACCCGATCCATGAGCCTTCGCTCCCAGCGCCATATGTTTTTATGTTATGTGTTTTTGTTCTGTTTTTTAATAGAAAGAGACGCAGAGAAAATGAGATTCGATTTTCTTGTGTTTTCTTCTCTTTTACAACCTTGGGACCAGCAAAAACATCATGTTGGATGTCTTCTTCTTCTTCTCGATTTTTTCTCCCTGATGTCTGCTAATTGGTTCTCCGGGATTTTGTTAGGGACTTTTTGATAAAACATGTCTCCTTTTTTTGGGATTTTTAGAACCACAAAAAAAAGATAGACACACATCCGTCAATTTGTCAACACTGTGGTGTGGGAAAAAAGAAGAGGAAGGAGAATGAACACTTTTCTTCTTCTTTTTTCTTCTTCTTCTGATGGAGAAGAATGAAAAATGACGCTTCTTCTTCTCCTGTCAGAGGGACCACAATTCATACTTGAGTGATTTATTTGGAATTAATGGGGAATTCAGGAATTCAGAAATTCAGGAATTCAGAAATTCAGGAATTCAGGAATACAGAAATTCAGAAATTCAGGAATACAGAAATTCAGAAATTCAGGAATTCAGGAATTCAGAATATCAGAAATTCAGAAATTCAGAAATTCGGAAATTCAGAAATTCAGAAATTCGGAAATTCAGAAATTCAAAAATTCAAAAATTCAGAAATTCAGAAATTTAGAAATTTAGAAATTTAGACTTTAAAAATTCAGAAACTCAGAATTCGGAAATTCAGAAATTTGGAAATTCAGAAATTCAGAAACTCAGAAATTCAGAAGTTCAGGAATTCAGAAAGCCCAGGCAATTCAGAATCTAGAAGACTTCGAATTTCTAGACTTTAGAATTTCAGAATCTCAGAAACCTACTGGAGAATCTGAAAGTTCTGGAGAATCTGGAAGTCTGAATTTTCAAAATTTCAGCGAAACTTTTGCATAAAAGTTTGAATTTTAAACATTTTCAGAATGTCAAATTTTTGAAAATTAGTTATTTGAAATTCATTAGAAATTCAGAATTCCCGCATCCAATTTTCGAGGAATTTTTAAATTCAGAAATTCAGAAATTCAGAATACCATAAACCTGGAAACCCAAAGAGTTTCTAAATTACTGGAATTTTTTTTAATTGGAATTATCGAAAAATTCCAAAAGTCTGAAACCTAAAAAAATGTCGATAAAATCCTAAAATCCAAGTAATTCTGAGAATTCTGAAAATTCAAAAATTTGAAAAAAGAAGAAAAAGCAAAATTCCCAAACATTCAGAAATCTTTCAAATATCGGAATTTCTGGATTTTTAGAATTCTTTGGAGTTTCATGAATCCTTCAAAACTTATTTTTTCTCAATTTCGGTTATGTTCAGTTTCAGCCCAATTATGCACTTTTGGGATAAGCCAGCTACACAGTTTTCCAACAAAAACCCAAAAGTTTACACTTGCACTTTCCAAGCTACGCGGTCATGCTTTTTTCCCAAAAATAGGTCATAAAAATCAGCAACAACGACAAGATGGCATCATGTAATACAACTTTCTGAAACACACAAGACTTTTTGGGTTCTTCTTCTTCTTGTCCTCCCTCTCAGTTAGCCTGTGTCCATATACCCACTAAAATCGCTTAAAAAATGTCCCCAGGGCATTGTTTAAACGGGACACGAGAGAGAGAGAGAGAGAGAGAGAGAGAGAGAGAGAGAGAAGCAGAGACTAGTAGAAATGTACAAACTCAAGAAGACCCTCCCCCACTTGTGACAGAAGACACGAAAAAAATTGGAACACATGAGAGCTTGACTGGGTCCTCAGGGTTCAATAATGGGAAAAAAAGCGGAGACAAATCGGGGAAAATGGAATAACAAAAAGTAGAAAAACGGATTTGAAGGGTCCAAAGTTTTCTAGAGAACCAAAATTTCAGAGAAAACTTTGAAAAATTCCAAGAAAGGGTCCTCTAGAGGTACCCCAACATTGACCTAACTTATCTCGGCTTCTGTGAAAGATAGTGAAAAGTTATCAACTAATAAAATGTTTATCACTTTATCAGCAATATGTTATCAGTTGACAACTTTTTGATACTTTTCACAGAAACCTAGATAAATTAGGTCAAAGTCAGAGTGCTTATTTTTCATAATTGGGGATGACAGAGAGCTTAATTTTGAGCTTGCTTATCTCGGTTCCTGTGAAAGATATTAAAAAGTTATCAACTAATAAAACGTTTATCACAGTCTTTTTAACATTTTGTCAGTAGATTATTTTTTGACATCTTTCACAGAAAACTAGATAGTTTTGCTTGAAGTTAGGAGCAACTTTTTCAACCCATCATTTTCTTCTTTTTTTTTTTTTTTTTTTGAAAACTTAAAAAAAAAGAAAAAAAGCAAAAAAACTAATAAATCACTTCAAAAAAATAGGGAAAATGGAGATAAATGATGCGGAACATCTTTTCTTTTTTTTTCCCCATCAACAAGGTAATATGAGAAGAAGAAGACTATTATTGACTGAATGACAGCTGATTTTTATTGGATTTTTTTTTGCTTTTTTTAAGAAAATAAAAATTTTTAGGTTAGCGACACAGTCAATGAAAAAATATAAAGAAAGGTTGGTTTTTCTAGAGATCAGGGGTCCTTTGATTTTGAGATTCTGGAATTTTCGAGAATCAGAAAATTTAAGAAATTGTAGAATAGAATAGTTTCCGATTGTTCTGAGTTTCCGATTGTTCTGAGTTTTCGAATTTCTGAGTTTTCGAATTTCTGAATTTCTGAATTTCTGAATTTTCGAATTTTTTAATTTTGGGAATTTTGGGAATTTTGGGAATTTTTGAATTTTTGAATTTCTGAATTTCTGAATTTTTGAATTTCTGAATTTCTGAATTTCTGAATTTCTGAATTTCTGAATTCCAGAATTTCTGCATTTTTGAGATTTTGTATTCATAAGATTCTGGAATGTTGAATTTTTCCGAAAATCCTGGAAAATCCGAATTTCTGAATCTTTTGCAAATTTCAAAAAAGATTCTGATTTTCCAAAGTTTTCTTCAAGATTCAAAGTTTTTCAACTTTCCAGGAATTTGAACTATTTGAAATTTTGAGAATTCTGAGAATTGGAAAATTTAAAAATCCGAAAATTAATTTCTGAAATTCAAACTTGGTTTCGAAAAGGTGCGAACTTTGGAACCTTCGAAAATTTTGGACTTTTGAAATTTTCAAGAACGCTGAAATTCTCCACAGAGCGCATTAGCAACTTTCTGTTGTCTCTCCAACCCCACTGCAATTTCTAAAAATAGTACATCATCAAGTCTTCTCCATTGCTCAGCTTGTTTATATGTTTATAAATCTTCGCTTCGTCCATTTTTGGACCGCCGGCGGTCCGTCGGCGGCTCAAAAATGGCCCCAGCGTATAGTTTACGCTTCGTTTGAATGAACAAACTTTTTTGGAGCATTTTTAGCATATTTTTGGAGCTTTGCGTATAAATTGGGTAGGGGACAAAATATAATAATGTCATATGTTGCACTGGGTAATTGAATTTTTGGAAAAAAAAGTTTCTCGCTGTTGGTGCATCTTTCTAATGATGGTCATGTACTTTTTTGAAAAGATTCTGTAGGGACATTTTCAAAAAAAAACTTCAGAAATTCCAAAATTCAGAAATTCAGAAATTCAGAAATTCAGAAAAAACAGAAGTTCAAAAATTCAGAAGTTCAGAAATTCAGAAATTCAGAAATTCAGCAATTTAGAAATTCAGAAAATCCAGAAAATTCAGAAATTCAGAAATTCAGAAATTCAAAAATTCAGGAATTCAGGAATTCAGAAATTCAGAAATTCAGAAATTCAGAAATTCAGAAATTCAGAAATTCAGAAATTCAGAAATTCAGAAATTCGAAAAATGAAAACTTTCAAAATCCAAATTTTTCGAAAAAAAAAGAAAAAGTCCAAAAAACCGTTCAAAAAGTGTTAAATATGAAATCGTGATGATGGAATCATCATGATACAAAAAAAGTGTATTTTGGGAGGAAAAGCACACAAATATTCATATTCGGGACAGAGAGAGTGTACAAAAGTGAGAGAATTAGAGAAAGAGAGAGAGAGAGAGAGAAATAGGGACACACTGATAGATGGATGGTTGGGATGAATCATTATGATGAATGGTCAACTTTTTTTTGGTTTTAGTGAAAAAAAAAGTTGGTTTGAAAAAAAGAAAATTAAAAAAAAGTTTTTTTTTGGTTTTTAGATTTTCAGATTTTTAGATTTTCAGCATTTCAAGTTTTTTCAAAATTTCAGAAATTCAGAAATTCAGAAATTCAGAAATTCAGAAATTCAGAAATTCAGAAATTCAGAAATTCAGAAATTCAGAAATTCAGAATTTCAGAATTTTTAAATTTCAGAATTTCAGAATTTCTGAATTTCCAAATTTCCAAACATTCAAAAATTCGCAAATTAAAAAATTAAGAAACTTCGATTTTTCTCATTTTTGACTCTAAAAATCTTGATTTTCAAGAAAAAAAAGACAAAAAACATCTTGAAACATTTTGAAACATCTGGCTAGAACTGCATAAAACAAAACATGAAACCTATACAATTAATGGGATTTTCAATTTTTTTTTGAAAATTTCGAAATTTGAAAAAAATCTCAAAATTTCTGGGAAATTTCAGACAAATTTCATGATTTTAAAATCAAAAAAAAAGAGCATAAGTCACAAAAATTATGTTTTAAAAAAATATAAAAAATAGAATAAGAATAAGAAAAAAAGGAAATAAAAAAGGGAAAAAGGAGGAAAAGGAAGCACTTGTGAATCTAGAAAATCTATAAAGAAGAAGAAGAAGACATCTGATATCTGTGGTCCGTAAGAAGAAGAAAAAGGATTCTGATGATGAAAAAAAAGAAGAAGAAGAAAGACAAAAAAAAAGTAAAAATGAACCAAAATTTTGGTGAAAAGTGACCGCTACTATACTATTTTGGAATGTTTCTTTTTTCTATTTTTTTGAAAATAATTCTAAATTTTCTGATTTTCAGACTTTTGGGATTGAGATTTTTTTTAACTTTTCTAGGTTTAATAGGATTCTGGATTTTTAGATTTTCCAAAAATCCTGAAACTCAAAATTCTAAAAAAAAATTGGATTTTTAGGATTTTAGGTATTCTATACTTTTTATTTTTTTTAACTTCCAGTTTTCTGGATTTCTGAATTTCAGATTTTTCAGATTTTTAGATTTTTAGATTCTGAACCATCCAGAATACAGTACCTTTAAATAAAACATCCTAAAAAGTTTAAAAAACACACAAACATCAATGTCTAAAAAACAAAAAATGGTGCATTCCAGAAAATTTTTTTCAAAAAAAAAAACAAAAAAAATGTATCAAGTGTCAGATTTCTTTTCAATTCTTCTTCTTTTTTGGAGCTATTTTTGGATGAAATTTTTCGAAATTTCGAGAAAAAGTATTCTGTGTTTATGGATTTATCCCACCAAAAAATAGGATTCGAATTTCATAAATGAGTCATTTTTTTGAAGAAAAAATATTCAGAAAATCTGAAATTCCAACTTTCTGAAATTCAGATTCTTAGATTCTTAGATTCTTAGATTCTTAGATTCTTAGATTCTTAGATTCTTAGAATTCGTTCTAAAATTTCAGAGCTCCAGAAAAAAAAACAAATGTCATCATTTCGAAAAAAGAGACTTTTCTGTGGTCCATCATCAAACAAAAGACCCCAACAAAAACATTGCGTGTGTTGTTTAGAAGCCAATCCTTCTGTATCTACTAGGCTCATAAATTAGGAGATGTGGATGGACCACCAAGAAGCAGAAGACGTCAAAATTTAGAATTGTTAGATGGGAAGAAAAAGGGACGAATTAGGAAAGGGATGGATAGAAAGAGGGAGAGAGAAAGAGAGAGAGAGAGAGAGAGAGAGAGAGAGAGAGAGAGAAACTTCGAATACAGAACAGAGATTTCCAAAATTTCCCTTCTTCTCACTGACACTAACTAAAAGAGAAGAGTTTAGGGAAATTTTTGTGCAGAGCGCAGAAAACGGAAACCAATGACTTCCGGGAAGTCTTGGACATAAACCAGTGGTGGGGGGGGATGCTCTTACTTTTCGGGTTTTATATAATCCTAGCAATAAATGAAGAAATTGAGAATATTTTAATGGTTAATTTTAGGTCATAAACATGAGATAAAACAGACTTTCAAACATGAGCTCTGCCTTTGAGCCAATTTATCTCGGTTCCTGTCATAGATATCAATAAGTTGTCAACTGATAGAATGTTACTCATAATATGATAATCATTTTATCAATTGATTACTTTTTGATATCTTTTTTAGGAACTGAGATAAATTAGTTCAAAGTTTGAGATGGCTCGGTACATTTAGACTTGCACTTCAATTTTGAGCTTAGTTATCTCGATTACTGTGAGAGATATCAAAAAGTAGTCAACTGATAAAATGTTTCTGATAATATCATCAACATTTTATTAATTGATAACTTTTTGGTATCTCTCACTGGAACTAAGATAAATTTGTTCAAAGGTACGGGTTGAGAAATTTTATAGGAAAAAAATCGAATTTCGGAAATTTAAAAATTTACAAAAAAATGGCTATATGTGTTCAAAAACTAGATTTAGTTTTTTAAAATAGTTTTACTATTTCAAATTTTGAAAAAATCCAACAAAAAAAACCAAAAAATTGTTCTCCAAAGAAAGAAATTGTAGAACTAGAAAAAGAAAAGAAGAGTATCAATGCATAAATAATAACTAGAATAATACTACCCACAATACTCTAGAAAATACAGAATAAGAATTCTCAGATCCCTCCATGAAAATATAAAATTCCAAAAAACAAAAACCAAAAAAAAAAAATTAGAAATTTCGTAATTTTGTGTAAATCAATAGTTTGAGGACTTCATAAGTTTGAATCGATTTATCTGAGTTCCTATGAGAGATATCAAAAATTGGTTAACTGATAAAATATTTTTGATAATAAGATAAACATTTTATTAGTTGATCACTTTTTGATATCTTTCACATGAACTGAGATAATTTGACTTTAAGTAGAGGTACGGTATTTCGCAATATCAGAGGTGTTAGCTTATTTTTGATACAATTTATCTCAATTTCGGTGAGAGATATTAAAAAGTGATCAACTGATAAAAAGTTTATAATTTTATGGTGAACATTTTATCGGTTGATTAATTTTTGATATCTTTTATAGAAACCTAATATAATGCTGCTCAAAGTTGAGCTCACTTATCTCATTTCCTGTAAGAGATATCAAACAGTTGTCAACTGATAAAATGTTATTAATAATATCACCAACATTTTATCAGTTGACTACTTTCTGATATCTTTCACAGGAACCAAGATAATTGAGGTTAAGTTTAGAGAGGGTATTTTTAAAATTCAAAATTTCGAATTCCCGCCAAACTGACCTCCAGGGATGCTGTTTCCATCCCAAACGGCACTCCTTATCACGACATCTGGCGCCATCTTCGACGTCGTTCAAATTCATTGATTCGATGCGAATTTCACGAGAAATCGATCCCGATGATGAGCCGCTGCCACCGCCGATTGGCATCTGAAAATGGACCAAAAATTAGAAAAAAAATGTTTTTTGAAATTTTGAAAAATGTAATGAATCTAGAAAGAAAATCCTGGTTTTGCAGATTCCTAGATTCCTAGATTTCTAAATTTACGGAATTCCAGATTTTCAAATTTCCTGGTCTCCGAAAAAAATCCGAACCTAAGAAATTGAAATTTGGGGATTTTGGAGTTTTGGAAGTTTTAGAAAATTTTATTTTAAAAAAACTTCCGAAACATTTTTGAACTTTAAAAAAGGATTTTCAGACTGGGAATGAATGCAATTGACAGTTTTCAGTGATCACACATTTTTCAGAAATATTCATTTTTGAGCAGGAAGTAGAGAAAAAAAATACATCCAAAATATTTTTCCAGATTCTGAAGAATGTGAAATTCTGAATTTTCGAATATTCGGAAATTCAGAAATTCAGAAATTCAGAAATTCAGAAATTCAGAAATTCAGAAATTCAGAAATTCAGAAATTCAGAAATTCAGAAATTCAGAAATTCAGAAATTCAGGGATTCAGAAATTCAGAAATTCAGAAATTCAGAAATTCAGGAATTCAGAAATTCAGAAATTCAGAAATTCAGGAATTCAGAAATTCAGAAATTCAGAAATTCAGAAATTCAGGAAGTCAGAAATTCAGAAATTCAGAAATTCAGGAATTCAGAAATTCAGAAATTCAGGGATTCAGAAACTCAGAAATTCAGAAATTCAGAAATTCAGAAAATTAGAAATTCAGAAATCCAGAAATTCAGAAATTCAGAAATTCAAAATCTTTGAAATTTTGGGAATTTTGAAAAATATTCTGAAAAAATATTCTTGAAATTTTGAAAAATATGGCCTGCCCGGAATTTTACAAGTATGGAATTTTCGATTAAATCCATATATCGAAATGTTTCAAAATTTTACAAAAATCTGTAAATCTACAAAATTTGGAATGTTGAGAAAAAATTCCTACTTTTAGGACAACCAAAAAAAGTCAATGAACCCAGGAAAAAGGCTTTTTTTTCTTTTTTTTTTTTCTCTGATTCTCAGAAATTCCAAAAGTTTCAACATTTCTCCAGAAGAAGAAGAAGAATTAGAAGAAGAAAAATGACATGGTTGGGTGGAGAAAATCCTGGAAAAATAGAGAAGAAGTGTGACCACATCTGGTACAGCTACTCGGTTACAAATTGTTTGAAAAAGAGAAAAACGAAAATCGTTTAATCGTTAAAATACTGGTGTTGTGCCTCCAGAAGAGACTCGAAGTTTATACTAATTTTCCAGAGAAGTTTGAATTTTTCGGAAATCCAAAAAAAAAGAAAAAATGAGGGACCAAAAGATTTTGACTCAAATGTTTTGTACAAATTTTAAAAATATTTTCGGGAATTTCTGAATTATTGCATTCCGAGACGTTTTTTGAGAATTTCTGAAGTTTTTGAAATTCCGACTATTACAAAGTTTTGCAGAAATTCAAAATTTTCTAGTTTTTTTTCATTTTCAAATATACCGTAAAACCTGTTTTAAAAGGGCCCTTTAATTACAGGGGCCCTTCAATTAGAGGGAACCCTTCTATTTTTCTGGTCAGTTTTTTTCCGAAATTTTGCATCGAAAAATTCGACGAAGTTTCGCTAAAAATTCATGAAAATCTGTCAATCTATTAGAGGGCCCTTCTATTAGAGGGCCCTTCTATTAGAGGGCCCTTGCGGTACATAAAATTTCGATTTTTGGATTCAAATTTTCTTGAAAAACTGAAATAATTCAGAAATTTCGAATTTCTGAATTTCTGAATTTCTGAATTTCTGAATTTCTGAATTTCTGAATTTCTGAATTTCTGAATTTCTGAATTTCTGAATTTCTGAATTTCTGAATTTCTGAATTTCTGAATTTCTGAATTTCTGAATTTCTGAATTTCTGAATTTCTGAATTTCTGAATTTCTGAATTTCTGAATTTCTGAATTTCTGAATTTCTGAATTTCTGAATTTCTGAATTTCT